CAAAAGGAAAAGGGAACCCACTCTTTCGGAGAACATATTTGCCAATGATACATCAGATAAAGGGTTAATATCCAAAATATATAAAATATTCACACAGCTCAACAAAAGGAAAACAAACAATCCAATTTAAAAATAGGCAGAGGACCTAAATAGGTACTTCTCCAAACAGGACATACAAATGGCCAAGAGACACATGAAACAATGTTCAATGTAGCTAATCATCAGAGAGATGCAAATTAAAACCACTATGAGGTATCACCTCACACCTTGTCAGAATGGCTGCCATTAGCAAATCATCAAACAACAAGTGCTGGCAAGGGTGTGGGGAAAAGGGGACTCTAGTACACTGCTGGCAGGAATGCAGACTGGTGCAGCCACTATAGAAAATAATATGGTATTTCTTCAAAAAACTAAAAATGGAACTGCCATTTGACCCAATGATCTTACTTTTTGGAATATATCCTAAGAAGCCCGAAACAAGAATCAGAAAGAATATATGCACCTGTATGTTCATAGCAGCGCTATTTACAATAGCTAAGATCTGGAAACAGCCCAAGTGTCCATCAGTAGACAAATGGATAAAAAAGCTGTGGTACATATACACAATGGAGTACTATGCAGCTGTAAGAAAGAAAGATATCTTATCCTTTGATACGACATGGTGGGACCTGGAGAGTATTATGCTGAGCGAAATATGCCAGTCAGAGAAAAAGTACCACATTATCTCACTTATTTATGGAATATAATGAACAAAATAAGCTGATGATTAAAATAGATTCAGAGACGTGGAAGTAGAGAACAGACTGACAAACCTGAGAGGGTAGGGGGTTTGGGAGTGGGAGGAATGCAGACAGGGTCAATGGGGAAGAATGGGGGGCATCTTTAATACTTTCAACAATAAAGATTTTTAAAAAAATATAAATTCTCAGGCCCAGTTCAGGACATTCTCAATCTGTGCCTTCAAGTGAAAAGTCTTTAATTTTTTTTTTAATGAGGGCCCTCGGATGGTCCTTATAATTGTAAAATTTTGAGTACTTCATTGGTCTCTAAGCTAGAAAAAGTGCTATAGTCTCTCATCCTCAGCTGTATCCCCAGGCATAGCATAGACTCTGGCCCATATCAAGCATTTAAATATTCTTAATAATTAATTAATTGACTTTAAAAGTGGAAATACATTTTAAAAATTGGCAAAATTTAAAATGCCACTGTGACAGGTTTTGTACTGAAGAATCACAAAAGTGGAGTTGTGAGGTATTTCATAAGTTTCGATGTGTTCTCTTTTAAGACTTACTATAAATATTGTAAAGTAATCAATTAATTGGCCTGCATTTGCCATTCAGAATTTTCTGCTAGATAGTATTTGCCAGTGAATGCTAAATTCTTTCTGTATAACTGCTTATTAGAAAGTCACAAGTGAAAGGAATAGCTGAGAGGGGACTCTGAGAACCGAGGAATACAATTGTACTAAGAATTAGATAATTAGAAAAAGAATTAATAATTTGTTTAGTTGTACTTGATTATTTTTTCTAAAATGCAGGCCTTTTATGTTTTGTATTCAATTAAAAGGCAAATGCGCCCTGGCCAGTTTGGCTCAGCGGTTAGAGCGTCGGCCTGCAGTCCAGAGAGACCCGGGTTCGGTTCCCGCTAAGGGCATGTGCCTCTGTTGCAGTTTGTCCCTGGCCCTGGTTGGTAGTGTGGGTGGCAGCCACTCGATGTGTCTCTTTCACGTCGATGTTTCTCTCTCTCTCTTTCCCTCCCATTCTACCTGAACAAAAAATGGAAAAATGTCCTCGTGAGGGAAAAAAAAAAGAAAAAGGCAAATGCACACCTCAACTTAAAAACAATTACTAAAATTTTTACCAATAATTTCTTCTTTGATATTTTCTGAAATCTTCACTAATTTAGTTAAATGTCATCTTCAAAATTAAAATTCTTTTAGTCCTTACAGCTTTGTCATTTTAAATTAGCTGTCATTTGTCATCAGTAAGTTGGCTATTTTTAAACTATCATTAATTATTTTCCTTTATAGTCATCTGAAGAAGCTGACACTCAAAAGCCAATAGTGAGTCTTTCTCAGATCTGGACCTAGACCTCCAATTAATTAGTTGTGTTACATGAAAAGAAATATCTGAATGTATGAGAATACTGTGGTGTGTCTTTCCAATCTCCACATATCAGAGAACAAGCGAGGCATTAATAGCAATAACAAAGGGCATTTTTATAGTGCTTTATGGTTTACAAAATGCTTTAGTGTGTATGTCTCATGAGAGTGCCGTGGTCACTCTGTGACGGAAGTATCACTACTTCATTGTTTACAGTGTTGCTGTGCTATATACTTATAGGAAAAACACCATTCATTTGATCCATTTGTGTTTGCAATGATGTTTTGGTTTAAGGACACACAATTTGGAAAATGTCCTTTTCCAAGAAAATACAGACAGTTGCTAGTATTAAGTAAAACTCTTTTTTTTTTTTTTTTTTTATCCTCACCCGAGGATATTTTTCCATTTTTTGTACAGATAGAGTGGGAGGGAGAGAGAGGAAGGGAGAGAGAGAGAGAAACATCTATGTGAAGGGACACAACAACTGGCTGCCACCCGCATGACCAACCAGGGCCAAGGACAAACTGCAACTGAGGTACGTGCCCTTAGCGGGAACCGAACCCGGGTCTCTCCGGACCACAGGCCGACGCTCTAACCGCTGGGCCAAACCAGCCAGGGCAAGAAGCTTTTCATTTTAAGTTGATCCTTGACTTACTTGAAATCCTTTGAAAATTGCTGCTTAATCATTTTGGTCCTTTAGCATTTTCCACCTTAAATAGTAATTACATGATTTCCTGAGCACATGTTCTATGTACCCGAACAGACATTGGTAAGCCCTCTGAGGGGAAGGACTTACACTCTTCTGGGCAACATGTAATATTATATCAGCATGGATCTGAACAACTGTTTTCATGTTGCCAGATTAAAGATGAATAAAAACAATAGTCCACAAATGGCAAATGCAACAGCCTGGGACTGTATTACGTTGAAGACACCTATGAAACAATGCTTTATAATATTTGAAGACTTTTTGATATAATTTAAACTGTTAGAGACAGAAAAGTGGCAAATAGAAACTATATCTGTTATTTGGTAAATATTTCACTTTCACTTTTACTCCACATTATTGTTGGTCCTGCTTTATAACCTGGTGATAACAACTTGCCCTGACTACCAGGGCGGCAGAGCACACATCCAACGGCACATGAACAGTTACAGCTAGAAAAACACCGTCAACGCTCACTCATTTGTCTTAATGCCACTTGCAGAAATGGTTGGGATGACAAGATAATACCCCTAAAATTCACAAGTCACCAGTTTGCATTATGCTATATTTTATTACTTAAATCTGCGTCTTAAATATTGTTACTGAAATGTAAAGAAAAAACTTTGTTTATTATCATAAATGTTTTTAAAAGACAAGTCAGAAAAGGAACTCATGACTAATAGTGAAGATATTCCTTTTATTTGAAAACTAGTAAATAATTATAAATAAACTTAGTGATTCATATGTTTATCTCCAATTACTAAGATTTGACCACTCTCATGTCTAATTTATTTTATTTTATCTTTCCTATCTCTCATAACTGTCTCTTCCTTTCATGTCCACTGCCATGAGTGGACTTTTGCTTTCAATTACTTCTCAGCTAGATGACTATAACCACTGCTTCACTGGTACCTTGACTTCCCCTTCAGGCTGATCTTTCACAAAGACGCTGGATTAATCTTTCCCTTATACAGCTCAGCAGGTGACTCCTGGCTCGAACATTTTCAGTGCCTCCTTGTTGATTACAGAACAAAGTCTAATTTGCCATAGGCTACCCATGTCTGATTTCTGCGCTCTTGCTCCAAATTATTTTTCTGAATTTTTCTCCATTGGCCTGCTTCATACATTACGGACACTATGTATATTTATACACTTCATCCACCAAAATGAAACAATCCATTGTTTTCTTTACATCTTCCCTACACCTAGAATACTCCAAATTCTATCCACCCTTCAGGGACATTACCACTTTCATGTAGTTGTTTCTGAAGTCCTCAGAAGTACCTACTATTATTTTTTTTTGAAAGTTCATAGAGATTTTTCACTATTTCTTTAATAGAACTTATTTTATAACTAAAATATATTTAGGTAAGTATTTTTCTTCTCTACTAAATTATTGGTTTTGATATTCTGATTTGTTTCATCACCTGGACCCGCGGTTGTCCAGCTATTCTCTATGGTACCTTTGGGGTTCCACAGAGGAGGCCCAGGAATCTCTGTCCTTGGGAGTGGAAAATGGTAAGTAAACAGAATTATATACCCTACATTCTATTTTCAACTAAAACTGCTCCATCTTGTATACTGGCCTTCCTCTAAGACTTTGTTTAGAGAAAATTTTCACTGATCAAAAAACATTAAAAAAAAAAAAATCCCTTCGGATTCCACCCTTGGAACCCTCTTATTCTACATCTGTTTCTAATCTGTATTCCACATGAAAACATCTTCACATAACAATTAGGTAAATGACCTACTGTGTTTTAGCTGAATTGACCATTATAAAAATACCAAAATGGTAGCACAAAAGTAGTGTTTCAGATAATTTTATATCAAGTTCTACAGCACCTATCTTTGTTTGAGACAAGACATTTTATAATACTGATTGATTTCAAACCTTGATCTGACTTTACTAACCTAAGAACTAGTTAGCTGGTGAATCTTACAGATATCACTACCTTTCTGGAAATTTTAAAAATATTCTAAAGATCCCTGAGAGGTTGTTACATAGCTTTCTATTTCTGTAAAACACAATCACAAAACTTTGCATTGCCTAGGCTTATGGTAGCCTGTCTCCTTACACACAGAGTAGAAAATTCTGATTTGTGATAAACCTAAGATGTATCTCCACTGAAACATGCCTCAGACTCCTAGTCAGTTACACAATTGTAAGTTCATTATTTGGGGGGGGAAAGTACCTGTTCAAGTCACGATGTATGATTGGCTGTGTCAGGTTGTGAAGGTACTCCATACCTTTGGCAACATCTACTGCAATAATTAATTTAGACTGCAAATCAAGAATCCTAGAATTTAAAAATAACATTTAATGAGAATGGAATGGTCAAAGCCAATACCATATCTTTCTAAAAGAAATCAATAGTGCATGTGATTTGTTATTCTGTATAATTTCAGCCTGTTTCGCTTTATTGAAGAATAAGCTAAAAATTCAACAGATCTTGAAAATAATCTTTCTACCTCAGACAATGTTTAATTATAGATCAATTCAGATACCAAACTTTTTTATTTAAAATATTCTACTTGATTTTATAATATTTGTAATATTATACTAAATTTCTTTGTAACATCATAAAAATGAAATCTATAATCACCAAGTGAAACCACATTCTAATTATTGTATGCATAGAAGTAGAAAATGAATTCAAATTAAACTTCTGCAAGACCATTCTTTTAAAAAACTTTTTAAAATAAGTACTGTGACCCCTGGTAATTATTTTATCTTGAGTTTACATATATCTGCTTTATTGGTATGTCAAATTTGGGCTAATGATTATAAGCTTCAGTTACTAATTTAAATCCCTTGAATTTGTTATCTTCAACTGAATTCCATTTAAGAAAGCACTGAAGTATTTCTAGTCACTAATTATTGGGCATAAATTATTAGCCATCTTTAAAATGCCATATTTCCTAGCACGCAGAGATTTCAGAAGATAAAGTCTTACCCCAAGCAGAAAGCCTCTGGGGTATTTATTGCCAGGAAAATTCCAACCACATGTAAAATAATAACTCAGAACAAGAGACTCATACCTCTTCTGTTCATGAAGGAGGGAGAATAGAGAACCCCCTGATATGTACTGAGTGACGATGGCAAACTGGCTGGGATCATTCAAACAGGCACCCACAAACTGAATTACGCAGGGATGGTTTAGTCGGCAAAGAATGGACACCTCTCGGCAAAACATGTCCACATCTGACTTGGAGCAGTAGGTGTTGGCTCGATAACTGGAAACGGCAGTGACAGAAAATCTTCAGTCAACAGATGAATCAAAACCAAGGGGCTCACCACTCACGTGCTTCTCAAAGTTCACAGCTCCACTCGGATGTTTAATTTCCTCATTTGCTCGCTTACCGTTTTATAGCCACTATTTTATTTCTGCACCGTCCTTTATATACTTTCCCAAAAGAACCTAAAATTGTTTAAGAGAAATAAATAAAGACATTATCTTGAGCTCATTAAACTAAAGCTGACTGGTGTTTTCTTAGGTTACCTGAGCCGATAATCTCGTGGAACTCAATTTCTGAGAGTTGAAGATGGAAGTGTGAAGGTAATCCAGCCCTGAGGAGGAGAACGTCTGCCTTCTCTGCAAACAGGAATGATTTTATTTTTTAAGATAAAAAGCAGACATGTAGATGTGTATACATGCATGCACAAATATAAATTACTTAACCAAAAATATAAATTCCCTAGTAACATTTAATTTTTCAGCTATAATTGACTATAGGAGAATCTAAGACCTTATTACAAATGAGTCCTGCTTTAAAAGCATGTTAGTACTCTCTGTTACCAGACCTTTGTTATCAGGGCTAACAGTTTATTCCTGAGCTGATCAACAGCTAGTTTGTCTGCATGAGGATCCTGGAGCACAGGCTAAACTACCTCATGATAAAGGGTCTTATCTGGTCAGTCCCTGCACCTATCACAATAGGCTTAGCCAAAGATCCATAAACTAAACCTCAAAGAGATACCAATGAGATGTCAGGAAATAAGCACATGAATCATTCAGCGGAACCATCCCAAACCAAAAAATAATTTTTTAAAAAACCTCAAGTTTTAAATAGTTAAATATAAGTTGAACAACTTAACTAAGATGAACTATATTCTTTTAAGTTGAATTAAAATTTTCACTGTTATACCTTCACGAACTGACAGGCATATGCGAAATAGAACAGCAACTGAGGTTAGTTACAGAAGAAATGGTGTGGGCATAATAATTATGCTTACAAAATAGTCATCATTTGTACTATGCAAAACAAAATAGAAAGATATCATAGTTGAGGCAATAGTTATCCTTAGTAATAAAATATAACAACTGTACCATACTAAAATACCTTTTGTCATGCTTTTAATCTTCCCCAAGGGGGATGGAACAGATACATAGGAGCCATCTAGAAATCAAATGATATTATAGTGTTGAAAGGAGCAGTCAGTTTTTTTTCTACATGAAAGTTAAACATTATAAAAAAAAAAGCAGGTAACAAATTTGCTAAGAATACCAAGTGAGATTACAGCTTAAACTCAAGTCTTTCTCCGGATACTAAAACTGTACGGCAAGTATTTATTTAGAAAGCACATAACAAGATGAGACGTCCCCAGTCTAGCAGACTCCAGCAGATTTAACTTGTGTCTGGATATGAGTATTCTCTGTCCGGCCTTAATAGGTTACAGGAATGGAAAACGACTGCTCCCTGCTTACCTAGGCCTTCCTAGTCATGAACAAGCCTCAGAAACATCTACTCTGGGGAATGTTGAACTTGAAGGAACTGCAGATTGGTGACTCAGAAAGTAGCCTAAGTGGAGGCTTCTTTATTTTCAGCCTCATCAGCCATAAGTTTTCTTAAAATAAAGCTAATCTGACACGCTCTCCTCCCTCATCCTTGAATGATAGTAACAGAAATATAGGTTTACCTTCAGGCACAATATTGCACTAATGACAAAAACTGAATAAAGAAGGGGTACCTCCTCCGGGCTGAGAATATTCATTACAGGGCAGTTCATCCTGTGGTCTCTTATAATGTTTCAGGAGTGTGACGATTGCATCATGTCCTTTGTGAAAAGAGAAAAAGGACAGAGGGTCTTAATTTGTGTTTGATTTGTACAGCTAACCAACCAGTCCAAAAATGACCAGAGGTAGCTTGAAACATAGGATGTATTTTAAGAGATACTGTATTGCAGTGGGAATTTAGTTCATTCATTTTTTCTTCATTCATTCATTCATTCATTCACTCACTCATTCAAAATAACTCATTACGATTCTACTATGTCAGGTACCGGGGATACAATGAACAAGGTGACTATGGCCCTGCCCTTCAGAAGCCTAGTGTAGTTGAAGAAATAAGAATGAAGAGAATTTCTAAATGAGGAAATATCAAGGGCTATGGGAGTATATATAAGGAGACCATTAAAAGGGTGGACAGCACATAGGGTAACCAGGAAGGAGAAATGTATTTGCTGTGATTGAGCATTACACGTGGTTAGCAACTGCACATCACATGGCACTAAGATACTTTACATAAGTCTTTGTGGCAGGAGACAGCCAGCTGCCCAGCAGTATTTGTACTCCTTGTTCAGGGAGTCACTGGGGATGGCTGCCTACCCAGGGACAACAATTCCCCATTGTCTTTGCATTCAATGATGGTCTTATGAAAAATTCTCACCAAGGGACCATGAACAAAAGTGATGTGAATTCCAAGTCTGGGCTTTCAGAAACGGTGACCCTTCTCCACTCTCCCAGTTGGCTGGTTCTGAGGTCTTAGGGGATGGGAGACAGTCATCCACTGACCAGAAACGTCCACCCTGGACTGTCACACAACTGACATATACATTTCTATTATATATAACACCATCAAAATTGTGGGCTTTAATAATGGCAGTAAAGATTTATTGTGAAAGATTAAAAATGCTAAGTGCTCCTCTGAGGAGACCAATGATTTCATATAGAGCTAAACCTTGAAACTATTTTATGCTTTCACTATAAAAAATAATCTACTGAAATCAATTTGTACAAGAGAAAAACAAAGTCAACCTTAAAGACCCTGCCAAGAGACTTGTGAAATGCACAAGAACGCACTGTAAAAATGGCAAACTTTAGCAACTGAAAAAGCAGCTCCTAAATAACTGTGAAGGGTCCGTAGTTAATGCGGGTTCAGAACACACCTGGCTGATGTATAGAGTATATGCTGAGAATCGTGCCTGCTTATCACGTCCTCTCTTCAAAAAAGAATTAAAATGAACAGAGAGTGCAAGATCCCGTGATGGAATGAGATATTTACTAGCACTAAAATCTTTTCCAGATGTAACATCCCAAGACCAATTTCTTCAAGAAAAACAAACCCTGTGATTACAATTGCTGCAACGTGCAGTAAAACGAAAATCTGCAGAGTTAAACAACAGTTCCGTTTTCTTATCATCCATAGCTTTTTATTTATGACTGGTGGATCTGGGATTTTCTCAAATCACGAACATCGGTCACAATGAAGGAACGAGGAGCCAGCCCTGCTGACACTCTTTCTCTGGACCCTCCTGTGGTCACAGGCAGGGAAATCGCAAGACCCAAAGGCCATTCCCAACAGGCAAATCTGCGAAGGTCCCAAGATGGAAGCAGACACGTCATGTTCAGGAAACAGAAGAAGGCCTTTGGGGCTGGACCATCGCAAGCAAGGGTAGGAGTGGTACCAGACTTTGGTTGGAGAAGCAGGTAAGCACACGTCATGTGGAGCAGTGCTTCCCCTCGTGTCCATAAGAATCAGCTGGAGGACATGTTAAACCACAGTTCCTGAGTGCAACCCCCAGACATTCTGGCTTAAAAGGCCTTCAGTGGGGACCCCAGCAGCACTGCTTTTCTAACAAAGTCATAGGTGTTTGGAGCGGCAGTCTAGGGTCTGATGCTATTGATGTGGAGATTTATAGGCTAGGATAAGGGGTGTGCATTTGCATGTAGGTGAAATGGCAAACCACAAAAGAATGTTAATTAGTTGAAATCATGATTTAGCTTACTTTGAAAAAATCCCCATTTGTAGATGAGAACTGATGAGGCATCTTTGTTAGGCTGCCGTAAAGATTAGGTAAGATAATATTTGCAATATGCTTAACAGTTCTAACACATAAACATGCCCTTCGGATCTTTACACTGCCTTCCTATTGTGCCCTAAGACCTGTACAGGAACCCGGTAACTCCTTTATGGAACTTCAGAGACATTTCATAAATACCAATATATTCCATTTCTATTACTGCTGTTGTCAATCGCCACAAACTTAGTGGCTGACACAAGACAATTTTGTCATGTTATAGTTCTGGCGGGCAGAAGGCAAACGTGGTTCTCACTAGGCTAACATCAAAGTACAGTGGTTCCTGGTTTATCACGGTCAGTCCGTCCAGACTCCAGCGGTTGCACCTGGCGTTGAAGGATTCCTGGGGTGCTCGAATGCACAGGCCTACCGTTCATACGTGCAGTGATTTTCATTTTAATTGTAATAGAGGGGTGTATAATTGACTCAGACAACCGAGTGCGTGCTGTATCATTTTCGCTGTCTCGATCAACTTTTTAATGAATATATTTGTAAAAAACGCGATCGAGTGAAACCGCGAAAGTCAAAGCGCGCAGTGGCGAGGGCCGACTGTGTCGGCAGGGCTGCATTCCTTTCTAGAGGCCTCAGAGAAAATCGGTCTCCTTACCTTGACCAACGTCCAGAGACACCGACATTCCTCGGCTCGCGGCCCCTTAATATCTTTCTTCAAAGCCCTCAACGTCTGGCTGAGTCCTCACGGCATGTCACTCTGACCTGGGCTTGTCTCGAGACTTCTTTCACATTGAAGGATCCCTGTTCTTACACTGGGCCCACTGGGATAATCCAGGATAATCTCCTTTTCTAAAGTCAGCTAATTAACGGCCTTAATTCCACCTGCAACCTTAAATCCCCTTTACCCCATAAGGCAGCGTTCGGGGGAATAGGACCTGGACATCTCTGGAGACCCATTACTCTGCCTACCACGCCAGTGGGATGACGGCATTCATGCGCTTTGTCTGTGTGTGGATGCTGTCTCCTGTTGAGCACCTACCTCCCTTTCTTCCCCATATCTGAAGACCATTTTAGCCTCAGGACCAACAAAAAATGTCTCCGGAATTATAATACCCCTGCGTTTGTCCCGTGGCTGGATTCCTAGGTTCTGAAGTTCTGTCTGCTCCTCTCCACAATGTCTGCCCCCATTTGAATACGACGGGTGGTGCTTTTGGAGTTGTTCTTTTACTTAATTTGGTCTTTAAGTGTTTGGGACAAGGAATAAAAACAAGACAAAATCATTTTTCTTTCTTTCGTATTTCTGTTTTTCCTAGGAGAGGTATCCTTGGGGAAAGAAAACAACCCAGACCCCAAGCATTTACTCAAGCACAACAGAGCATAATTCACCGCGCCTGCCTCCTCGCCTGGGCTGTCTCGGCTCCTCTGTTGGACTGACTGTGGCTGACAAGCCAAGAGAGAACTCCTGCCTTCCAGTGAAGCAGAAAGCCACATCTTGAATCCTGAACGCCTGTGTAAGTCAGTGATCACACCCTTGATGTTACCTTTCATTTCAACAGCTCTCTTGGCTCCACTTGCTCTGAGCAGTTTTAATTTCCTGCCAGCACAGTGGCACAATTTGCTGGCATTTTCTTTGGGATGCTTTTCATCAAGAGCCTAATGAGTGCCTGGGTTCTGGCTGATGAGAAGCATGAGGCTGCCAGAGAAATGCCAAGAGGCCCTCTCAGTTCTGGAAGGCATCTCCGCCTGAATTCCCACCTCCTGTTAGCTGTGGGCTAAGGCACACACGTATGGGAAACTCTCCACAGCTACCGCTGCTCTGACAAACTACCACAGTGTATGCAAAGCCACCTGAAAACAACCAGGGCCTGGGTCCCTGAAACTGGCCACAAGCAGTTAAGCAGAAAAATGCGCTGATGGAACTCACTAAATAGACTTGTTACGCCAAACTCCTGATAATGGATACACCCTGATAACCCAGGTACACTAATGGAGCACGTCCAGAGATAATCAGAGGGCCACTAATTAAATAAAATGTTTTCCTATATCTCAGAATTTACTATCTACATCCAGGCATTTTACCCAACCAGGAGATTGCTGTGTTATTAGTCTAATGCAGCTATAGTAATGATTTGCACTTTCAGAGAACTATTCGTTGGAGCCCCGGAGGGTTTTGGCAAATGAGATGCTACTGCTGGCTTGCAGTCTCTTTCAGTGCTTGCTCCCCACTCTTCCAGTCCTGCCTGTGCTCCCCAACTTCCATGCTTTCCCTTTAATTTGCCTTCTTCTTGTGTTCCTTTACTCCTCTTTCTTGGAGAGATTTTTATTCCCCCTTCAAGGCTCTTTGCTTTCAGCTTTCTGAACAGCTCTTTAGTTTAAAACCTACGTGGTTGTTTAAGGCTACAAGTCCATCCAAAGGGTTATTACAAAGAGAGTTCAGTATCTATGTCATAGTCATGTCCTCAACAGAGGATTTACTATTATTCAAGAAGGAAACGTACACATTTTAGTATTTCCCTACAAGGTTGTTTCTCTGTCCCACCTTTTCATTTTAGGAGCAATGAATGCTCTTTATTGCTATGAGAAATTATTTTAAAAACATGGAAGAAACCTCGCTATAAAAAATATTTTAAGAACTAAGTCTGAATATTAATGGCAAATGCTGCCAGTACTAAAATCTTCCCCCTGACTTTGTCACTCTGAGGCGCTTTGGGTCCAAGGTTAAGTAGAGAACACAGGGATTTGATCTTGATTACAGAAGCCGAGGAATTTCTGTTGACCTCACATGTCCAGGTCAGCAAGGGAGCAGTCTGCTGCAGAGAATAAAACATTCACAGCAATGATATAGATAAGATCGTGCTCAATATTTCACTATCTTTTCTTCTCATTATTTAAAAAACGGACTTTGCAGGAGCACCGAAAAGTGGGGTTGGAGGGTGGCTCCTGATATCTGCCCTTCTATGACTCATCTTCCTCCCCCCAGTCCTGGTCCCACACAGTGTCAATTAAATCAGAGGCCACAAAAATGC